GTCTTGTGACTGGTCTTGTGACTGGTCTTGTGACTGGTCTTGTGACTGGTCTTGTGACTGGTCTTGTGACTGGTCTTGTGACTGGTCTTGTGACTGGTCTTGTGACCGGTCTTGTGTCTGGTTTTGTGTCTGGTCTTTTGACTGGTCTTGTGATTTGTCTTGTGACTGGTCTTGTGACTGGTCTTGTATCGGTGGTTGGTCTGTGATGGTATCAACTACCACAACAGACAAAATCAGGCTGTATCCGAATCTGTTGTCTAGAGCTAGGTCTGGGTCTTTGCTGCATTGGAAATGCGTGGAAATGCACAGTCAATAGACCTAGTCGTAGCTCCGGAAGTCTCTTTTGGACATGGCCTCAGCCATTACTGCGGTGGCACCACACTCATGAATAGGTGGTATGCATGTTACATGCCTCTTTGACCAGAAGGGTGTCATGATTTGCCAAATGCACACACACATCAAGCTTCAAAATGCGCACATGCATTGGATCAGTCTATCCGCCCCGAGTTGAAGTGCACCCCAAGTGGCAAAAGGAAGGCAGATGGTTGTACGTTTTCCAAGCGGGTTCTTGCACACGTTCTGCGTGTATGCAAAGACCATACATTGAGGAATAAATTTGTTATGTGTATTCAGCGTGCTCTGTGTCAAACTTGCTATTGGTCTCCAATATAAACACGCACCTATGCGGTGAGTACCCCAAAAAACGTTCCCTTTTGTTCTATTCGGATTGTCAAAACATGCTACCAGTAAACTTTCAGAAACTTTTATGCAAGCGACAGACAAAACACGAAGTGAATTGTAAATGAAAAACGGCAAACATGATAGGCCAAGGAAAAGATTTTTTTTTCTGGCCCTGCTGGAGTTTTACACTCATCAGCTACCACACCTTTTTAAATCCTAACCCATATTTAACCAAGAGGCAAACAACTTTTATTCACAGTGGTTTTCCCAACGCTTAATTCCATAATGCCTTGGACTTGTCAGGGCAAAGGGGCAACTCTCCATTCACTTTGTACAGGGATTGGCATGTTTTCCTCCTTTTTTGCTGCAACATGATGAAAATAACTGAACCTTTTTTGGTACTGTGTTGGAGATTATAGTGCATAAATAATGACATTTCAGGCATATTTGGTGCACAAAAGGTTAAGAGTTTAGTCAATAATTCAGATTTTCCCCATAGACTGCAACACTATTTTTGCCCCTTTGGATTTCAAGTGTGAAATAGGCCTACATGTATGGAATAACCACCAACTGACCAATCAGAGAGAAGAATCAAGAGTCAGTGATGTCATCCTGACCACGAGAATGGTATGGATGAGCGAAATAGGCTAGGCCCCCTGCTTGTGAAATTCACCATTTTAATGAGCATGATGAGATACACAAAGGCCTACATCATGTACATGTATAGGTGAGTAAACCTCCCCAGCTGACCCGGTAACATGTCTGACCTCACTAAAAAGTGATGTATGAAATCTTATTGCACACTTAATTATGACGGCATAGGCCCAACAGTTTGAAGTTCGAGCATCACTCATTGGTCATTTGATTGGGCCTGCCCTACACCAGTCAGGGAGTCCACCTGGGCTAAGTAATGTTGAGACTGGTCCTACACGTAGGACTAGGATCAATACTAGGCAAGCCAACACTCACTGGCTACTGCTACAGTACATGTGCATGGCCCATTTCTGTGAAAATGACATGAGTAACCTTAGTAAGGCCTGTATGCTCACTTAGACATGTTAGATATTGCACACATATTGCAAATTTTTTATCCCTCAACTTCACTCGTTGTACTCTACTTCAAGGGTTTTCTTACCAACCTCAGTAAAACGTCAAACTATCCACACTTTACCACAGGGAGCGAGCCGACACCGAAGAGTTCGATCCGACCACGTACAGTAACTAACACGCCATAACACACGCTTTTGGCAAAATCGCACAGCGCCGCCAAGCGGCCCAATAAAGGCAGGCGAGTGAGGCGCGCGCGCTGAAGTTTATTCACTCTCATCCATTGCACAGCGAGCTGACTTGAAGTACTTCAAATCCTCACTGGATGCTATATTGGCAGCCAAGGCAGCCTGTCACGTGCACAACAATGTTTAGAACGCCCATCAAGGCGTCTTCCCAGATGATGCAGTAAAAATTTCTGAAGGTTAATGTTCAGACGTACACCAGTACGGGCATTTCGCAAAAGTGCACCTCCAAGAGTTTGCAACACACTGGCCAATCATAATACGCGAAATCTATCGACCCAACGCGCGTTTGGAAAAGGTAGACAGATTTCGCGCATTGTGATTGGCCAACGCGTTGCAAGCTCTCAGCGGCACCCTATTGTGAATCGCCAGTATTATGGTCCTAGCAAAGCAACGGCTGATTGCATGAAGTTAATACGCTGGTTTGATAACTTTGATGATATCAATTGATGTGTCCAAATAAAAGGGCAAGTCTACTTGTATACCGTCTATAGACTTAGCCTCTGTAGTTTGAAGCAGGATTTCTCATTTCTGCCAAGGACACCGAGGCAATAATAAGAGGTGTATATACATATGTGTGTACCCGAGTTTGCACCCCTGTACATGTTTAGTAATGAGATCTTTTCATTATGGCTGCTGATTGGTCAGAATTTTGAGGCCAAAGAGGAACATCTTTGCATAACGGACTTTGCCATGAAATATGCAAATTGGACTGGCGCATGCACGCTACCACCACTGGTTGGCAAGTGCGGCTGTCAACACTGCCGGCAGTGTAGGCGAGCTGCTAGTAGGCCTATCCATAACCTGGAGCGTTGAAGGTCAATCAAAACCGTATTACAGCCTTTGCCCGATACTTGAGCACGCTTTTCTGGAAACTAAGTGAGGTTTTCAGTGTCCTAAGGTTAGAAAGTAACAGTTCCTTGTCTTTAAGTTTGGTACGACGCACCAAATCTGTCGACCCAATGCGCGTTTGGAAAGGGTCGACAGATTTCGCGTGTTATGATTGGCCAACGCGTGTCAAATTCTTGAAGGCGCACTTGTACTTGTGTGAATCGCCCGTATTAATCGCCAGATGTGACCAGGTGGAAAAACCAAAAAGCGCCCTCATTCTTCTCGATCAAAAGCCAAGATAAAAGGTAAGACCACTGTACAGGTTTGACTTCAACTTGCAAAATGAAGTGACGACACTGAAATTTTTAAACTTCAGGTTGTAATCCAAGGAAAATGATCAGCTAAAGCCAAGGTATTCCACTAGACCTGCTGGGTATGATCCTTGTCAGAATAAACCCTAAGCATGAACCCGTCGTCCAATTAGTGGCACAGTACCCTCAAGAGTGGTTGAAAGAAATTAACGCCAAAGAGCATGGGCCGCTTACCTATATGTATGGTTACCGTCTCAGTGGCTTTAATTCAATGATTCAATCTTATCCTCTTTATCTGGGAGAATTGGAATTCAGACTTTGCCTTTATTATCTGCAACTAGAAATGGGATTTCCCATTTATCGAGCGACACAATATGCTGTGTACGAAGCAATTTATAAACAGTGTTACCGTAGGCGTGTACGTTGTTAACTAACTGTCTGGGGATATACAATATACTTTCCCGATGGGAAAATGTTTTTATTGCCATTTTTGAGAGGAGACTAGTCTTCACGCCTTGTGGAAGATTTCCTATTGGAATGTCTGACTTTTATTCCTTTTGAAAAAAATCCTCCAGCTGGCCAGAGCCACGCTTAAAGCCCTTCTTCAAGTCGGGTCCCCCAGCGTGTTGTGTGAAAAAATATTCGCGTACAAGAGCAGTATACCAAAACGCCAGCCAGCCGGATCAAGACTTCCAACATAATTTCAAGTGCATGTGACCTTATCTGAATGTGCTAGTGTGCCCGTAATTGTAACTGACGACCAGTTGGGGCGTTTGTTTGACCAGTCAGTGATCAGAAGTAAACATCAAACTGTAAGTTACCTATCCTCCATTTTAACTCTTAAAATTACTTTCTGCCTTGTAAGTTGATGGCTGCTGTGATTGCAGTGGCGAACATTTCGGGATGAAATTTGGAAGGTTACCAAGGGTGCGCACTTTTTTGCAAGGGGCACTGAAGAGAAATAGGCTGCTTCAAATGGGAGGCTCCTGTGCACGGGTAGTGTGCGCCGACTGTCACGTTATGTGGAACATAGAGGGATTACACATTAACGCCGTCTGCGCATGTCTGCATCGAAACTGAGGCTCTCTGTGTTGAACTTGGTCGCGCGCGCCCGTGGAGTCCCAAAAGCACATGGGGTATCCGGTTCGTTAAGTGTGACGCCACTTCAGTTTAAACCACGCCCACTGCACAAGATACACGACCATCGCAGGTACGTTAGTTCACGGTAAATTGCCATTGTTTTTTCCTTTGATTTTACGTGCTGGGTCATCCTGAAAGACTCTTCCACAAAAATCTGCAGCCTGAAAAGTCGGAATTTAACACATCTTTATGTATTTTGTGTCTCGACTCCTTACTTTCAATCGTCTGATCGTATTAAGTATTGAAGCTGACACAAACAGCCTCGTTTTGAAATGCGGAAGTGTGCAGATCGACGCTGAAAGCGTTGCATTGGGATCCTTCTGTTGGTTCAACCGGTTATACAGTCGACGGGAATAAACTTTATTTAAAGTCAAAAGTTACAAAATGGAGCCGGAGCCCATCATAATGAACGATAATATCGCAGGTCTTTTTAAGTATGTATATTGCGTTGTACCATCTCGGCAAAGTTATAGGAGTGCGCAGTGTCATCCTTCCATCTGATTATGCCCCTGATCCCACCTCGCCGCTCTCCACAATTTGCGACACTTGCTTATGTACCACTAACTAGTGACCCTGAATGACGACCGTTTCGTGAAACCCATAGTTTTGGGTCCTGCTAAACCATAGTTCTGGGTCCTTCTTAGCCATAGATTTGGGTCCTGCTAAACCATAGTTCTGGGTCTTGCTAAACCATACTTTTGGGTCTTGTAAACCTTAGTTCTGGGTCATGCTAAACCATAGTTCTGGGTACCGCTATTATCAATACTGATGCTCCACAGGGCAGCCCCTGTCCTATTATGGTTTCCTGTTCGGCTGTGACTTACACTAAAGAAAAAAGGACTCACGAATACAATGTGGCAACAGTTTTTCACTGCTGGACTCATTTTAGTTATTATTCGTATAAGATGCTGTTTTCCAGTGGGAGTACAAAAAGCTGAAAAATGGCCGGGTACCAAGTTTGAGCAGTTAAACAACCAGTGATCGATTTTGGCTTCTTGCACCTAGGATGTGTTTTAGACATGGGCTACCAGGGAAATTCGACAGGTGTGTCACGGTATGCGACTAATGTTTGACTTTGATTTGTAACAGAATATTGCAGAATGGACTTGCCTTTCAAGGTTGTGTTACTCGGGAAGGAACGAGTGGGGAAAACAAGCCTGTTTAATAGGTTCCTGAAAGATAGATTCGACAGTGGTACCACTAGAAGGGTGAGTAAAGCCAGAAGGAACTTCAACTTCAGTGAAATCAGTACAAGTAATAAGACAGTAAGGGGCAGCATGAGGCGGATTTCATCTTTAGTTATTGTTGTGGTGTGATCGTGTGTAATTTTTTAAAATAAAACTTGGTGACGTCGGAGAGGTTGTGGGAGAAATGTTTATTCTTCCTTAGGTAGGGGTTGACTCCTAGACTAGCTGCTTACTTGTGTAGATGTCTTAGAGACTCTACCACCAAGCTTTTCAAGCTGACCAGCCGGCGCGAATTCCGATATAGTAGCTGCGGGTATAGAGGCATTATGTGACATACATCTTGCCGGTCAGTGCTTTGTCCCGCAAGAACATTCACAAAAGGCCTACTCATGCATATCTCTGCACAACAATAGCACTGACCTCCAAGATGGCTGCCACACAAAACCACTATACTGACCCTGTGGCAGTTGAAATATTAGCCAAAACATAAGAGCTTTTTTGATTAAGGCAGATGCGAGATTCTCGATAGAGAGGCCGGCTCATGCTTGGCGCGAAAGCAAACCGTAAACGCATGCAGATCAGTGACTACAGATCAATTTTGGGGCTACGAATTCGCAAAACCTGAATGCATTTCAACTTGAGAGCGAAATTTTCCTGCAGACTTCGTGACATCAAATTGGCTTTGGTTCCGCATTCGCCTCTCGCATCAACCGGCCTTAAAAAGAATAGTGACCGCGGCCGGCCGTGCTCGAGAATTGAGGTATTTTGTTAATAAAGATCACGATGCCCTGTCAAGGCACATAATTTCTCCGCTTTCTCTGGTAACATATAGACATTGCATATGAATTTTATCAAGATTACTTCTCTTTACATCTGTCTCACAATATTGCAAAATATATATGGCCATATGAGAACAACGAAGATAGGAAATAACCTAACAGAGTGAGGCATAAAGACGGGTGATTGTACTCTACGTGTATAGATATAAACATCTATATAGTCGCCTGCATAATCTGAAGTAGGCCTATGAACATTAAAGGTTATCGGACAAAACGTGAAGTACATGTTTTGAACATCAAACACGTTTTATGCAACGTTATAGGTAAAAGTCCAAAGTCGAAAATCGTTCACGGATGCTTCTTTGCAGACTGTTGAAAAATCAGTGGAATATTATAAGGCATCCAGGATATTAAAGGCCTCTGTAACCTCTCTGTCGGGGTGATTGTGTATATGATTGACCGCGATGCGGGATGAATGAGCGCCGGGAACGGCCGTGTTGACGTGCCATGCCGAAACCAGTTGCGGAAAGGATAAAAAGCGGGCTGGGTGGGAAATTGAGAGATTTCAGGAACAAATTCTTGGGGAAATTACGTCGTCATTTTCATGAAACTCTCTCTTTTTGTTTGGTTTGGTTTGGCCTGGTTACAGACTGAAGTAAGTTCTCAAAAAATTATGCCAAAAATTGGAAGAAAGGAATACAATGTCATCTTATTTAGTTTATAATGAGCCCAAAAGCTGGACCAAGAGATGGCGGAATTTTCTTAGCAACGGAGGTTCAGAAATGAACTTCGCTGGTTCACAAACGACTTTGAAATGCGTGTGTTATAGGAACTAAGAAATGAATTTTTCCTAGAATCACTTTTTGTGTATCTCTGTAGTATTCTTTGATGTATGAAGACTGTCTGACACATTTTTTGAGTTGCGTGAACTTAACGGTGCACTTTTCAAACATCGAAAATTGACTAAGCATTTCAGGATAAGCGAGGGCGCTTTGCTTTGATGTAAATCCAGGAAGACATGGTTCAGGTTGCATGTTTTCATGTTAAAAATTTGCCTTGGATGACATCATAGGTCTGCTCATTAATATGCAAATATCATTAGCATAAAACCAAAAAAAGCATTAAAATGTGGGTTAAAATTGCAAAACAAAAATTTAAAATCATGTTAATTGAAACCCAAAGATGCAATTTCATGGGTTTTTAGTAAAATTTATACAAATATTTCTATTTCCATCTTTTTCAACCGATAAGGGAATGCCTGTGCTCGAGCCAGATAACGTATATTTTGCAGGAACTGTGATAATGATCACCACAGATTTTTTTTTCATTGTGAAGGTGTACATGTTTACAAGTTTCATTATTCGTTGCGCAGACCACCGGTACGTCATACGGCGACAAAGCGATTGAGGTGGACGGCAGAAATATTTACGTCGGCCTGTGGGTAAGTGGTGGTCCCATAAAGAGCCCATGCTACAACGGCAAGTGTTGAGCGAAAGCGAAAAAATTGCCCAGTGGTTATTACACCTGTAGGGGCCGGTTCACACAGTCGAGGGGTGACAGAAACCGGCCACTTAAATGTGGCATGTCACGCTTACTAGGACACAGATGCATGCAAAACGAAATGATGACGTCAGCTTGCCCCGCCTCCCTTTTGTATTCCTCTCAGTAATTATGTTCATACACATTACTGAAGAGGAACAGGAAAGGAAGGCGGGGCGAGCTAACGTCAGAATATACTGTTTAAAGAGGCACGACTCTGGGTGGTCCCCGCTCTGAGACCAAAAAGGAAAGGACAAACCCGGGGGGGGGATTGTGCGATGGGGAACCAAAGTAAGTGCACCAATACCAGTGCAATCAATGCATGGCATGCATAATGTTTCATCATCGTTTCTGCTTGTCCGCGAATATAAGACATTAAAAAAAAATCTCCGGCCCGACCCCCCCCGGAAAAAATTCTGGATACGCCCATGATAAAGGTCTGTAAAGAATGTAATTTGTATTCCTCAAATTATTCGGGATTCGGGTGTGCCAAATGGTCCGTTGAATGTATAATACATTCATTCATTCATTGCACTAATTTTTTACAGGTGTATTGATGAAAAGAATGTTTGAATTGAACATATTTCCCTGTCCCTCATTAATATTCTTTTTTTCGCCAATCAGGACACAGCAGGAGTGGAAAAATTTCACGCCCTGTCTCCATTCTACTTTCGAGGGGCCCAGGCTGCTGTAGTCTGTTATGGTAAGGGAAGACGCCAAAAAAAAATGAATAATTACAATGGTTGGTTTTACCTCGTCTTGCATTTTGTCATTTTTTGACAAATTATTTTTGAGCAGTTTTATCCTAAATGAAATGAACCTGGATAATTCCAGAGTACGAACCATATCCTTATTCTCTATATTATTGTCTGCTCTCTTCCGTAAAATTCCTTTTTTAAAAAAAACACTTTGATTGTAAAACGGTGTAAAAATGCTCCCTCTTAAAAGAGGGATTGCCATATAAAAAATGAAAAACTCCAAAAGAGTGAAATTGCCACTATTTCATGTTGCCATGTCGAAAACGAGTTATCCCTTTATGGCACCTCCTTTGGCGAGGTTTCTAAGGAACTAACTCTTTTGGAAGTGAGTTTTGAAGTCCTTTTTACATTTAAACAGTTTGCATTTGATGTTTAATTTCACCATGCTCGTTCAAGTTGTTTAATCTTGCAGACGTCACAAGCAAACCAAGCTTCGAAGAGGCCATGCTGTGCGTCAAAAGCATGAAAGCATACGAAGAGGTATTCGGACAGTGCACTTCAAAGACTAAAAAACCCACATTTGTGTAGAGTTAATTGCCATCAGGATAAACCTTATCTGTTCATAAGGAGTTTTACCGTCAAAATGTAAATTTGCATTCAGTATTTCACCACTGAAGTATTGTGAGCTAAAGCAATGCATGCCTCTACTGGGTTTTTTTGGGGGGGGGGAGAAGAAAGATAGATTTTGCTTGGATTACTTTTAATTACACTTCATATTAAAGTTTGCTCAGGATGTTAAACACCATTTTTGATTAAGATATTGAATTATTTTTGTAAAATTAAGGTAACCAGGGTATCAGGTGCCATAATGTTTGGTTGTTGCAGTCAGTAGTGCTATTGTGGACCTGCAACGGCATTCATTTGTTGCAGTTGTCGAATAGGCAGTCAGCTTGGGATTAAGGGAAAACGCTCAAAAATATTTCTTCCTGTTTCTTGTTAGCTGTTGTTTATTTGACAAGTTTAACTGCAAAGTTACAGTTGCGAAAACCACCCGTGTTCGCACAGCTAACGGTAGTCTGTGCATTTTTTAATTTTTTCAAACTTGATTTGCACTGCAGGCTTGCAAGATTTACTTAACAGGTACCAAGTTTGATCTCGTGGATTCGGGCAGAAAGAAAAAAGTGTCCCTACAGAGCGTCACGGAGTATGCACAAGGTATTTCTATCAAGGTCGTCATCAACGCCTCTGCTGGTGGGACCACTTCCATTGATTCAACAAAGCTTTTGACGAAAATGTCGCTCTAAAAAACTATCGGGTCAGATAGACGTTGAGTCCAGGTCCTATGTGGCCTAGGCCTGACCCCGTTGTCGGTCAGGGAAGTACCCCTGTTTACATGGGTCCTTTGGACCTGGATCGGCGAGACATTTTTTATCCAAAAAGGTTAATTTTAGGCCCAGCGGGACCCCAGATTCAGTGTTAGTCTCGATCATCAGAAGTTAGTGGCTATACACCCACGACAATAAATGAAGTTTATTCATTGGAACGTCAGTGCTCACGTCCTGTTTATAATTTGCATACAAATATAGGTAGAATGGATATGAAATACTTATCCAAGACTTTTGAAGTGCAGCGTAATGTGTTGCCGGGGTAGTACGGGCGAAAAGTTCCAAATGTCACTTTAATAGCAAACCATTTTGAGCGCCCTTCAGCTTGGAACGTGTGCCCTATTTATGTACATTTCATTGATTCCATTCTTAGATATCGCCGCGGAAGTCTTCGAAACGTCCAGCAAAACTGGTTACAATGTCAGTAAGTATCAACACTGACAGAGTAAGTATTAACACTGACAGAGTGAGTATTAACACTGACAGAGTAAGTATGATCACTTACAAAGTGAGTATTTACACTGACCGAGTAAGTATTAACACTGACCGAGTAAGTATTAACACTGACAGAGTGAGTTTTAACACTGACAGAGTGAGTATTAACACTGAAAGAGTGAGTATTAACACTAAGTATTGACACTGACAGGGGAATTATTCACACGGACAGAGTATTTACACTGTACTGAGAAATCTTCAGCATTTTTATAAGCAGTTCTTTTTCAGGCATGTTCAAGTCTTTCGGAATTTTTTGGCATGATGTGTGAAAATGAACTCCTCTTCTTGAGAAGCTTTTATACCTAAATGATCAGGCATGGTAATTGCTTATTTTTGGTTCGCTTTATTTGCAGAGGAATTGTTTTTGAAGATTGCAAAGGATTTTGCTGAAGTTTCAATGGAGCCAAGAGTTGAAGGTAAACGATGGATTAGCTATAAGATACCGCAAATTGGATCGGTAACTTATTTGAGCAATTTTTCAATAACCTTGTGCACATTTTTTGTTTGTCTCGTGTGTGTTTTTTTGAGAAATACAGTCTTGTTTGGAGACCTTGGAATGTAAATCAAGCGTAAAACATTCTTTCATATAGTTGGGTTTGTCTAATAAAGTGGACAATGGATTGTTTCAACAATTTTTTTTTTTTTTACATTTTGTTGTTGCAAATTCTTTTCTGCATTTTTGGTAGCCTTTGATGCCAATGCGGACACCATTACATTGGAGGAAGTGCCAAGTAAAACATCAAAGACCACCTGCAGCTGCTAGCCGACCAAATAGCGTGTAGAAGAACCATCCACGTAACCCTGGCGACCAGAAGTAGAAGCTGTTGCTATAGGATGGCACGGCGCAGGCGCAAAAGTGGTGCGCATGCGTCATCTTCAACCAAAGACTCAATTCCGATTCATGCATTTGTAGGTCACCTGAACCTTTCAAGTTCATTTTGGGAACCTGAGAATAAAAAGAGCAGCAACAAAATGAAAGTCTCACTACAAGTCCAAGCTGGTTAAAGATTGGAATGATTTAATTTTGTGATAAATAATGTTTACATTTTTAAAGCCACGTTTTCCAAAAAAGTCCGAAAGTGAGGCTTCTGATGATCTGCCACATGTCATAAGACAAATTTAGAGACAGAGATCAAAATGGTTTGCTTGTGATAAAGGTCTAATGACCTATTGTCTTTGTGCTCTTCTTTTCATTTTTAAAGTCTTAAGTGGATATAAATGGGCCTTTCGTAACATAAACTTACTCAGTAAGTTACATACCGTAAGTAATACGGTAAGTTAAGAGGGGAGATAATCCCCCACTTTGTTGAAATTATAAGGAGATTTCCAATTAAGATGGCTTTTATTGGCGCATATAAGTTACCAGAGACAGAGTCACTTAGTCACTTTTTCCTTCTGGAAATCAATTAGTTTAATCTGTGGGCATTGTGCTAACTAGAAAGCTGTACTGATTTTGAAAATCAGTTCATCACTGAGACCTACATCAATATCCCTGTGAATAAATAAAAATCCATAACACCATTTGGGCGTAGCGTTTGGTGTAAATTACCAAACTTCCTATTCTCGCCCTAATCTCTGCGGCAAAAGCTGGTTCCGACGGCAGTTATTCATATGTCATGTAGTATACTCCTTATAATAGGCCTTACAATCACAGATTTTGTCGACTTTAGGGTTGAAGAAGCTCTGAATGCCGAAAGGAAGAATTTAATACATGTACATGCTAATTCCTCAATTTTGGAAAAGGATAAACGATTAAAGTGATTCTCCCTTTCTTACGTCGTGATTTGCGTTTGACGGTTCTATTCATTGTACAAGTTCGTTGGCTTTTTTTATATTGTGCAGGTTCAGGCCCTTTAGAAATTGAGGCTTTGGAACTTGGAAATGGGTGGTGTACATCCATGTCTTGGGCCGGGACCGGGGATTTAGGCACAGACTGCAGCTGTCCATTTTGTTAGTCTGTACGGTGTGTGGAATGCTGGTGCTTTCAATCCCTAAACAAAATGACAACATGTCTCCTGGGGCAACTGCCCCTTCCGGCACCCTCCCCCCACGGCGCCCGGTAGTGCATTTGCGTAAGATACTGGTGGATCATCGGAGCGCGCAATAAATGGATGGGCCTAATTTCATCTTTGAAACACTCCAAGAAAAGGTCTACCCAAAACTTCGTGACAGTATTCTTGGAGGGCCAGGGAGTTGTTGGGTGACGATAGTCGAGAGTGGAAATTTAAGCCATAGTCAAATAATTCAGACACAGGTCTTCACTCAATTGGAAATGGAGCTGGACGCACAGACAAACAGACTTAGCCGTAGCTCTGGAAACTCCTTTCGGACACGGCCTAGCTCTACCGGACACGCTCCGAATTTTATACTTGGATACGGCTGCAGAAAACACAAAGGCTTCCTTGCACGCGTGCTATATCTTAGCCGTAGCCATGAAATGAGGACATTACCGACCGACCAAGCCCTCTTCACATTACAAAACCCTGACGTGTCGGGCCGATTTTCCGTATCATTCGTTAAGGGTACCCGACTATAAATTTGCCAATGCTCCATTCACGTGGCATTGTTGGCGGCGATGGTTCTACCGCGTCTCCCGTTTGTCGGGAAAAGACTGGAAAGTATTGAAATTCATCGTTTACAGTAACACCACTGTCACCAGTTTGATCGAACTAAAGTCCACCCTGGATGTAATCTTGTCAAACGATGTTAGCTGAGTATAATATTCCTTTCCAAAGTCCCAGAAGGTAGGATTTTTGTCGAGAGGGAGATGAAGGCTATTTTGTATTTTTAGCATAAGCAAGTTAGGTCCCCCTTTAGCAGTTTAGTAGTCCTAGTACAATGACCTAGGTAGGGAGGCTCATAAATTTTCAACCATTTTTGTCTGTTTTCTGTTTGCCCTGAGCTTGGAGAGGATGTCATATTCATAAGAAACATTTTTATATAAGTTTGGATTCGAATCAGTCCCTGCAAAGCCATGAAACTAGGGGCCTACTGTAGTATTTTTACTATTATGAGGCTAGTATGTACTATCACTGTTAGTAAGCATGGTAAGCATTTCATAGTATATGGGCCTATGGATGCCACTGGTACTCAATACCCCATGAACAAACCTTAGGAGACTGGTCTGAAAAAGTGTGTTTTTTAATTAAACAACGTAGTGTTTTCCTTCCTAAATTTAACTTTTCTGGACATGCCATGGTTTTGCTTTCTGAAGGCTGGTATTAATACGTCACTGTAGGGAACAATTACTGGCTTCGGTATACAGAACTCTTCCCCAAGGAATAATTTGATCTAAAATAGGCATTTTTTGGGACATCCCAGAAGATTTAGTCAATCCAACAAGTGTTTGTGTTTTCCAATGTACTATTCGTCAGCTTGGGCGAGGAGCCAGTGTTTCTGGGTACCGATGATGACCTGTTTCAGCTGGACATCGATCTGATTCACGTGAGGACTGAAGACACCATCACGCTAAATGGGTAAGCAGAGACGGGACGCAAGACCAGGGTCTGATTAGGAGGGCCCGGTTTCTTGATGCTCGTTTACAAGTTTTAAACAGCCGTTGTAAAGTTCAACTTTGTAAAGGACTGTGGTTGTCGTCATTTTAAAAAGACGGCATTTTTGTTAGAAATAATATTCGTTTCACTTGCAGACTCCAGGGCTCCATTGGTGAAGATCTGGACGAAGCCTGCCTGCGACTGGCCGCTGAACACACCCTGCAAGAGACAGCAACAACAACCTTGGGTAAGGTGGAGGCAGTGTTTGGCAGTCCGGGCAGTGACTACCTTGCCGGGGCTTACCTGACGGCGCTTCACGACCAAGATGACATTGGTAGGAAAGATAGCCACGTTGTGGTTTCTCAGGATTCTGTCAGGAGTTTAGATTTACATTATGCAGGTGTTGCTATTGTTTTCATGTTGTTTAAATTAAATTAAATGTTTAAATTAATTGTTAAATTAAAGGTAATGGAATTTTTGACTGTAACTACTAAACCGAAGAATTGGAATCTTGAAAATCACAGTTCATCAGGATTGTTGTTGTTACAACTCCTGTGTATGTTTATTTTCATCCCCGGCCTACCTCTGGATGTTATTTGACTTCTCACAGAGGACTCAATTTGCGGATATTTTTGCATGGATTTGGTTTACAGGAAAGAGCGAGGCGCACTTAGCCAGCGAGTTTCTACAGAGCGACCTCGACCTGGCCTGCAGCATTGAGCTGTCAGACTCGGACGACAGCTTGGCTCACAGTACTCTCAGCGACATTGCCTCGCCCGGCCCCAGCAGCCCCACGGCCAAGAGGAAAAAGCTCTGCCCACAATGGTAGGAGTCACTGCTTGTATCGGTCATGCGTTATGCGCCCAGCCGGGGTCTTATCTTTGGGTGTCAACATCCCAGCCTGTCCCTTCCCAGCCCAAGGTTTAAAACTGTCCTTGACCTCTCCCAGGATAAATTCTGAGACTCGCGCCCCTCAGTAAGTCTGTTTACCCCTCCCCCCTCCTTGCTTTTTTCCACGTACAGGTGTAAATGGGTAAGTCATTTGCATCTGAAATGACTGCACCGAGTTGTATACTCACCTGGGAGCTGAGATGGGTTTATGGGCCCGATGAGCAGGGATAGTGATGCAGTGCCTGGAGCGCCAGTAACGGCCAAATATAAACGCTACAAATATACAGTAAATAAATACACACTACAAATGTACAAGTGATAGGGTATTGGTTTCTCATTCACTTGATGACTATGATGTGAGGCGCTTAGCGTCTTTAACATAGTACAGGTGGACACCTGCAGAGGAACTAGTTTCGTGTACCGCACTAACCGGTTATTGATTGTTACGTCCCACTCGTAGGAGCGAAATGGACAGCGAGGAACGAGCAAGGGAGCTGGACCTCATTATGCATGCCATCGCCGACCGTGCGAGCATACGGGAGCAGCTGGAACTCCTGCGGCTGATTGGCCAAGACACGACAGTTCTTCCCTCTGACAGCCGCTTCCAAATTGGTGAGAATTTCAAGGGTCCTTCACATCAAACCTTAAAGCTCCATCCCATCCGAGACTAAAGGAACCCCTTGACAGCTGGGCTTGTGTACGCAATGACCATACACACCAACAGAAATCAATTGAGTGTGCTCAGTAGCACCCGTACCCAGTGGGTGTGGACCTGTACGTGCTACGCACGGGCAAGTTTCGACTACAAGGACGTAGCAACTTTTTAAAATATTTCTGAATCAGTGATTCGTAGTGCTGTATGTTCCTCATTTCAGATGCGGCCATTATTGATGACGAGAAACTGGAAAGTGTACGAGAGTATTTGAACCAACTGGCTTTCCATAGATCAGAGGCTGATGCTGAGAGCTGCGAGGAGCAATGCCATACACAGAGAGAGCCCAGATATAAAAAGGTATGGAGAGCCAAACTCAACAGATTATTAAAAAGTTCAACTTCCAGTTGACTTCCATATGCCTCTTTCTCCACCAAAAAAATCATTCTTTCCATTTCTGTATAAGAGGGTTTGTGCAACATTTTCACTTTGGATAACTTTCTGTAAATCTCTGGCCACAACTGTACATGTTTATGTCTCCACCCTTTTGGCACTGGAACGATGAAGGAACTCTTTTGAGGTTTTGCATGATAGCCATCTTGCAGGGCAGTCCTTTTGTTCCACACGAAAACATCCTTTGCGTGTATCCTGTGGAACAAAAGCACTGGCCTGCAAGATGGCTACCACGAAAAGCCTCAATTAATCAGGCTAAGCCCGAGTTATTTTGTGCAGTGACTTGGTGATTCCGAGTTCCACGTGCTCCCAGTAATGCCATAATATAACCTAGCTTCAGTGAGGCAAGTTGCTGATGAAATGCGTCCCGTTCGTTACAGACTCAGGAGAGACGAGCGCAGCACAGGGCCAACAGGAAGCGCAGAAACAAAGAGTGGAAACAAGGCTTGAAGGAAAAGCGCAGTGGGTTGTTCGACCAAGAAGTGGTAAAAATTTTTCTCGTTTCATTTTTCCGTAATATGTTTTTCTATTCCCCTGGAGCACGACAGTTGCACTTTCGGTGCGGCGCGCTCACTTTGCAGTACTGTTTTTGCCCCCTCGCAAAATTTTGTTCCAAAGGCTGCAAAATCTATCCCCAATGAGCCTGAGCACTGCTTCCCGTCAGTGTTGCAGTGTCCCCTTTGCTGTATCCAGCTGGAAATATTAAACTTTGATCTGTGAGATTGTGATCGTTGTGAAAAGCTCATCACAGGATGCCAACTTTGAAAAATTGAAGAGGAGTTGATGAAACGCGCCGATGAATTTTCTTTGTTCATTCTCAGGTGTTATCGCTTCAGATGCAAGACGACGAGGAGGAAATCGACATTCTCGACTGACGGCGGCTTTTCCTTAGGAAACAATTTTTTTTAAAGCAACTTCCTCATAAAAAGGTGGATCGAAGGCGAAGCGGCAGTGGAAAGATGTGCGTTAAATGCATTGCCATAATTCATCAGTTGAAGTTGTTAGTTTGAGTCTGTGGACATGCGTATCATCTGTGGGCCTGATGCGTGAACGATAGAGGGCGCCGTGCACCTGTCGCACGTGCACAGCATTCTGCAGGAGCTGCAAGGTCTGCAGACAGGGCAGCAAATGGCTCTCAACAATTGGCCCGACCTCTCCTTGGCACAGTCACCGAGCCACTGGTGTCCACCTTCAGATTTCAACCAGTTACCAATAAGCCTTTGGCCTGCTGATCGTAATGTTTTGAACCCCATCATCACAATGGTTAGAGCATTCAAAATGTCGCGCATCTGCTGAACATCTAAATCTGACACTTCACCAATTATAGAGGGTTTGCATGGCTGCCATGTTGCAGGCCCGCGGGGTATACACACAAAGGAGGTTTCCCTGTGGAACAACAGAACTGCCCTGCAAGATGGTTACCACGCAAAGCCTCTGTAGATGCATTTGTACTTTTTCAAACCTGTATTTGTTTCCCATAAGCAAGAATGAAAGCTATGTTACCTGAACTCATTCAGAGTGGCATAAGTTGGTGACTTTAAATGGACGGAGCCCCGACCACCTGCACAGTTCTGACAGGGGGTTGGGGTATAGACCTTTTTTACCCACGCAACTAAATTGCGCTAAATGTAAACAATACCGCCACATGTGGACCGCCTTGGCCACGGTAATTGCATAATATTCCTATGGGCAGCTTCAACCACGTGCAAGCACACGTACGAACGCTGCTTGACTAGTTTATCTTGAATAAGTAGATTACCATCACAACACATCACAGGTCCAGCACGATCACGACGTCACAGGGAAAAGGTCCGTTGAGTATGCTCCCCAGTCATCCATCACAAGAGTGCAAACAATTTAGTCCCAATCCAAAGGTTTTTTTAATTTTTCACACGCTTTTAAACACAAGCTGCTTATGACTTGGAAGGACCACAGTATCTTCGGTAGGCGGTAGCCACGCCCCGTCATAGCTGCTCCAGCATCCACTGTCGGCAAGATGTGTGAAATAGATCAAGGATTCCATGAGATTTGCATCAACGTTTGATGTTTAGCAACGACTCCAACCTCCTTTGGGCACAAGCACCAAGACGTGGGTGTGAAGCCCACTCTCGCTTCACTTCTATACCAGGAAAGGGACCGAAATTATCTCTTTTTTGTTCAGTTTAACCAATTTTGTAATTTTAAAAAAAAATGAATCTACATGTATGATGTAAACTTATGTGCCAACCACTTCCAGATTGATGCCATAAATGGTCAATTGAAATAAAATGCCAGATTTTGATTCATCTTCAAAGCTGATGTTAGAGTCGGTGATTTTTATTCTTCAACCTAGTCTGGAATCTTCCATGTTATCTGACACACTGGTTAAGTTATAATTTAAAACAATTGTTTTAATGTCTAGAATCGACCGTATTTCATTAAACGAGTTATTACTGTATTCGTCCTATCTATGTGACAAGTTTTAGGTGCTCTAATAAGGGGGCAAAATTCAGTCGTACCTGTTTTTACAATATTTCCCAAATTTACGTGTTTGACAAAGCACCATGCAGTCTTTTGATAATGATCACTTCAAAACGGCAAATATTCAAAACTGCAAACAGTAACAAGTAACACTCTTGCACTTGAAATTGTTAGTTGGCACAAAACCACTCAGCTACATAACACAGTGGAAGTTGGAAGCCTCCGAGACTTTCCACATAAAGATACTGAGCCAATATCCTTTAAAAAAAATTTTTTTTTTAAATGCTTCGCTGGAACGGCAGGTTCCTCTAAACAAACTTAGAATAACCCTGCCTGCTCGAAGGTGTACAAAGCACCTGGGCTGTATAGTTCATGATCCACCACCACCAGGTGGAAATTCAAAAGGTTGGAGGGATGACGTTATTGGGTCAAAGAGCATTTGACAGGGCCTTACATCAAGGATTTACAAAACCCATCAGGGCACCGGGAAACTCATCAGCAGACACTAATTTGGAAAGACGGCATTCCTCCATTATACAAAACTTTTTTGTCCGGTAGTTCTTTACAGCCTTGCAGCATTTCACTTTGTGCATCGATCTAGTCTCCCAAAACTTCTTTCAGAAATGCCTCCAGACACCTCTTGTTTTGGACGAACACTTTTTCAAAAGCCGCCTCATCATCCTGCAGAAAAGATGACCACAACAAAGAGTGAAACCTTTCCTGGTAAAAATGAAGGACAAATGTGCATGTACTGGGTATCTCCAGCACGATATGCGGCAAAGGGGGAACCCCTTAATGTGACACACGAGCCATAGATCCTAAGGCTATTGTGCCTACTGCACCCCTCCCCAGGAAATCTGAAAGGAATTCCAAAGATTCCGTCAACACAAAAGAAGACACAATGTCCTCTACTCACGTAATATGGGTCGTGTATGATGCGCTCCTTCTGGGGATCCAGGTCTCCCAGTAGCCGCACTAAGCTGGTGCTCGAAGCTGGCTTCCTTTGCTTCAATATCCTGAAAGGAACGTGTCCCAGTGATGACCGTATAATTTGACAGGAAATGACAACAGACGTGGGGAACCAGACAGGCAAATGGCAAAAGTCGATGGTTGGTAACGAAGTAAAATTACAGTTCAAATAGCTGCAACACGTCTTCATTGATTGACTGAACGCAGATCTCATTCCTGATGAAAGGTGCTTCTCTCATCAATAATTGATAACCGTAACTTTTCATTCACATTTCGTGATCAATGTCACACACTTTCCCTTCAATGGACGACAAAGAAAGTCGGGGGAGCGTTCAAACTGATTTTTGAAGATGCGGTAGAGAAATTTATTGCTTAGGAAAGAATTTTGCGAGAGTCGCGTCAGGATGAGCACTGGAGGCCTACCTCAGGTTGTCCTCGTCAAATCCAAAAATATAATGAAACTTCTCGTAGTCCTTCTTCGTGATCTGCAAGAAAAAAATGAACGAAACACCTACGTTCTGAACAACTCCTGGGTACAAGTCTTTGACATTTTGCAGCCAAGATCGCCATGCCTTTCAGAGAACAAACTTAAATAGTTGCACCCATCAATGCAGGTATATATGTATAATGCAAACCGTTAAGACAAACAGCCCTTCTGCTTCTTGGGGGAAGACCAAAGGAGGTGAGGGGAGGGAAGGAAAGTGGACTTTGCGTAAGAGAGGGACATCTTGGGGGGCTAGCAGTCGTTTGTATGCATACATGTACAATGTCTGCCCAGCCTTTCTCTTTATTGCCAGCGAGGGCGCCTTTGTGCACATACATGTACATGTAGCTCCTGCCTACAATGTTAGATGACATTCTCCCTTGTGTGCACGTACAGGTGCACATGTACACGTGTGCGTAGTGTACACGTAGTCACCTCACCTGCCTTGCCAGATGTCTGTTTCGTTCGATGCCTTTGCGCTCCAGCACATCGTTACCCCTGTAGTCGGGCTCGTTGCCAATCTCGTAGGTGGACGTGGCTGCGCTGTCCACTGTCCACTGCTCGGCCACCTGTCTGGCCTTCAGCATGTGGTTCAGCATGGCCTCAGCCATGGTGGACCGACAGATGTTACCTGGGACAGACCAAAACACCAAAGCCTAGGCGTTAAAGTCTTGGGCGACGTTCGGGTGCACTCACCTGCCATGCCTTGTGGTGACTCTCGGGGATGCTGTGAGCCCGCAACACGGCATTGGCCCTTCCATCTGGCTCGTTGCCAATCTGGTAGGTTGACGTGGCGGCACTGTCCACGGTCCAATCCGCTAACACACCTCGCTCTCGGAGCATGTGCGAGAGCATACTTTCCGCCATCGGCGATCGGCAGATATTGCCTTGACAAATATCGAAGGGGACGATTCTTATGTTTACCATTGGCCTACTGCACTGTCAGACTGTAGGCATGCACTATGCCTGGCTAGTTGCCATGGAAGTAGAGTGGTTACTGAGCCACATATTAGTTGAGACAATCTCTCCCAAAAACATGCAAATGATGATAAAAACACCAGCTCCCTAATTTGCTGCCTATTATCGAGTCTGGTTTTCACAATGAAAATAAGGGACCTGGCCACTGGACTATATAATCATGGTTGTTGCAATGCTACATCAAAGTAAATATTTCCAATACCGGGGCAATAAACAACTTTAAAATCCTGCAATGACATGCATGATATTGATAAGGCATATTGCAACTTTTGGGAAGAAAAAAAACCGAAAAATCTCAACTCTTGTAGAGTGATACACGGTAGAGAGGACAGTGTCCCTACCCTGGGCTGGGTGTGGCTCCCAGGCCCACCGAGACATGCCTAGACCCGTAGACAGGGCCCAACGAATACGGAAGCGACTTAATACTAGCCCGTGAAACCTGGTGCGCTACTTTTTTTCAGTAGCTGGGGCGACCAATGATTCAAGAAGAGGGGACAATGCAATACCAATACACCATTTAAGACATTTCAAAAACGGGAATCCATTACGTCGCTTCCATAGCTTAGTGGGTAGTGATTTGAACTACAGATCCATAGACCCTGGTTCAAATCCGACCCATTTGTGCTATTCATTTTCCAATTTTATCATTGTGTTTGGGATTTCCTTTTTCAATTGATGCAGAAACAGAGTCCAAGCATGAACCCTCTAAGAGTCTTGAGAAAAATAGCAGACCAGGTTTCACGGGTTAGTATCTAGTCACTTCCAACGAATACTCCTCTGTCGTATATTACGTAATATACGAAAGAGGAGTATTCGTTGGGCCCTGTTTACGGGTCTAGGGCCCACCATGCTCCCGGGGGAACGGTATCAATCAGACTGGGGTTCGTAGTCCGCCACGCTATAGCTCCCACGAACATGACCATCATGACGTGACAAATGAAGAGCGGACGATTCCTCGAACCATGCTCGAACCAACAAGGAGAAATAAAAAACTTAACCAAAACTGAATAAAAGGCTACTGGACCCAGTGGGAAAGCCTAATGTAATTTCCAGCACGTTGATTAAGAAGAAAAGTTAATGCTAATATAAACTTTACCTAGACAGACGAAAAGGACAGACTTCGGTGAGGCCGACATTTTTACACGTTCCCTTCGCTTGTGCTTCTCATCGTTCGCCTAGTCCTACAACGGCTACGGATGCTTCGTTGTACTTTAGCGATAAATGCAGACTGTTGTAAGTCGCAGCCGAGACGCATTCGGCTGTGTGTTCATCAGCTGATGGCTCATGAATCCGAAGTCAAGTCATAAATGATATAGAGGGCGCGCTTTACGAATGAAGTCTGAGTTTGGGGTGTAGTCCACTTATTCAAGCCCATGTAAAAAAAAAGTGTAAAATCAGCATTGTTCGGGGCTCAATAACATGCTTACCAACATCCCTGAGGTATCTGAAACACACGTTACATTATTTTATGGTCCCTGATCTTCCACTTTCTTTCCATTTTTTTTGTGGGTTAAGCCGATGACATTTTTAATTATTCCCACAAAACAAAATTCCCCCCCCCCGAAAAGTAATTCTTCCGAAGTGCTTGCAGCCATTTTTCCAATGAAAACCCTCAACTTTCTCGGGCACTAAGGACCATTTTTCAACCGTATTTTTTAGCCATTCTGCTCTAAGATGAAAGCTAAAAAAATTTTAAAAAATAAAGACACGCGAAAATTCTTTCAGCCATTTTTGCAGTCTACCCGCCAAAGAAAGTTAAAAAGTGACCTTGATCAGCACCCAAAGTGATCAGCACCCAAATTTAAATAAAAAATAGAAACCAGCCCCAGAAAAAAATGCCAAAGGACAAGGGCATAAAACAAAGCATAACAAAGAACCAATAAATGAACCAGGAAAACTGTCAGAATTAGGGTCTCTTTTTCCTCTAATTTATTTATTTGAATCTCACAAAATATGTCAAATCTGTAGAAAATTAAGTCAGTTTACTCTGAGTGACAATATGCAGAGAGCATCATCACGTTATTTCCTTATAAATTTGTGATACAAATTCAGTTGTACTGCACCTCTCTGTACTTCCATTTTTTGCATACCGCAATATTAAAATCATAAAACTTCATTTCTCTTTTTTAAAAAATCCTGTATTCCCACACCATTCTGTCAGAAAAAAAACAGAAATTAAGTATGAAACCAAGGTCAAAATGGATTAGCTTGAAAACTTTCTTTGCAAATCACAAGGAAAGAGCTGAAGTGCAAAGTTCTATGTGGCGTTAAATGTCTCTAGTCTAAGCAAGCACCTGGTGGGAATGGATATCAGGAGGTGCATGTAAGACCAAGCAGATTTTCTCCTGGCCTCCATGCCTGCATCAAAAAGTTGCTGCAAAGGAAAAAACGCATATGCAGTCAGCTCTCGTTATAACAAATGAAAGTTGCAGAGACCAGACAAATTACTTTGTTTTAAAAGACGTGAGAAAAACAGACCTGTGAGAAGTGAGAAAAAAGGACTTTGATATAAAAAGAAGCGAGAAAAATCAGAAAAAGATAAGAATTCAAGAAACTGCAATTTGCGGAATTTGCACTTTATAAAAGAACTCGCTTATAATTCTTTATGTCGAGAGCTGACTGAACATGTCTGCACTACAACACCTTTGAAATAATTTTATTCAACATTACTTCTAGCATCCAACATTACTTTTATCACCTTTGAACAATCTCTATTTCATATGGGTGTCAGAATAGAGGCTTTTCACGATAGCCATGTTGCGGGGCAGCTCTTTTGTTCCACGGAGAAACCTCCTTTGTGCATACCCTGTGGAACAAAAGCACCGGGCCTGTAAGATGACTGGCAGTGGAAGGTGGGGGGTGGCAGTGGCCCCCCACTTTTTCGACTGGCTCCCCCCCCCCTTTTGCGGTGATTGGGTGGGGCTTCATGGATTGGCCACTTAATGGCTCATGCCTGATGGTCTCACAACCGCCCCCTTCACTTTGACAATCGTGTCTCCAACTTCTCTTTGAACAAAATAAGCAGCAGCCTAAGAAAAAGGGTGAATATACAACATTCAATTGATCACATCTCTTTCTCTCCTCATCCTATCAAATACCACAATTTCTTTCCTGTTTATTTTAAGTATCACAACTTGACATTATTAAGTAGTGAAATATTGCACAATTTTCAGAATTGGTAGACAACACACCCCTGATTCACTGGTGACAATTTTGAAATCAGCTTGATGGCAAAAACTGTCTATTTCAGGGCCCTGATCAACAAGGAATCTGACTGATTGCGGGTAATTTACGAGTCAGGAACAGTGGAACATTTAGACTGATAAAAAAAAAAAGCAGCAGCGAACTGAAATCACTGGATGCAGGTGATTAAGAACAGAAGGAAAGGTTAGACATTAGTTTGTAACGACTGCATTGTTGATTTCAATAAGCCTTTTGCAAGTTAACTTTGAATGAATTCACGTAAACATAATCTGACTTCTCCACACTAAAGAAATTGTTGCTATGCCTTGCGATTTGGAGCAAGCTTTTGCTTTGTTACATAAGAGACACCTTGCACAAAGACACTGATTTTTCAGTGAATAAGTAGGGCACGAAGGAACCAATCCGTTCTAGAGATGGTGGTCGCTATGCAAAACCTTGTCCCCAGTCACGAGGTATAGAAACGGAGTCTTTAGCCTGGGGAGTAAATGGTTATGTGCAACCACATAGTTCAGTGTACCAGAATTTATTCAAATTAACCTGCAAAAGGCTTATTTTACTCAAGGTGGAATTAAAACGTTAATCAAGATATGATTAACTATGGAAATTCTGATAAATTAGTCAATTTTTTCCCATCATTTCCAAACATTTATTGCAAGGAAACGTGGGGGGGCTCCATGGAGTGAAACTTAAGGTTAATTTAGCCAATTTTAGGAAGCATGACTTTATGATTTCAATGATGTAACACGTAAAAACTGTTGATTTGAACACTGCATAGTCTAGGTGGGGCCTACATTCTGTAGCTCGGGGGACCTGTCCCAATCATGGCCCTAGTCCCATATACCTACCTAATATCTTTAGACTATGACTGGTTGGCCTGGCTGCAGAGTGACCAAACTTACGCATTATTTTGACCCGTTCCAGAAAAGGTGATATAAGGAATTCGCCCCCTACGCATTTCCATACAATGGCCCACTCAGAGCTGAGAGGGTGATATTTCTTATGGGATTTAAAAGTTTGCTTATATCATCGTTGATCGCTGACGATTTTATGGATAGAAATGTTTTAAAGGACCAGGTTAACTGCTAGGAGTCTTTAAGATCAGTCTCACAAGTCTGAGTCTGTCTTAGACTTCATTTTTTCAAGGCCAATTTCCTCAGTTGCGTTGAATTCCACAGAATAATTAACTCCCGAAATTTCGTATCTCAATGGGTTATTGAAATCTGCTACCCACAACTAAATACGGAATGTACAATTAGCAAGGAGAGTGTGCAAAATTGAACAGATGGGAACGCGAGGTTTACCTTGAGGCTTGATGGGGATTCACAGGGTCCTATGGGGTACCATACCTTACGCCTCAGGGTAAATCCTTGAGTCACCCCCTAGCTTAACTCTCCCTCTGTAAATATTTCAATACAGCAGGATTTATACCGAAACACTTCTTCACCCTACCTATGCACCTATCTGGATAGAACTTCACCCACAGATTCTGTATCGCGATTGGCCGTCGTGAGCTAGTCACATGGCATTGGCTAATTTTGCTATCTTGCTATGCATGGCCAAAATTGACTCCTAAGATACCCGTAGCAACTTAAGTACTATACCCATAGCAACCAAATACTATACCCATAGCAACTAAGTACTATACCCATAGCAACCAAATACTATACCCATAGCAACCAAAGTACTATACCCATAGCAACCAAATACTATACCCATAGCAACCAAAGTACTATACCCATAGCAACCAAATACTATACCCATAGCAACTAAGTACTGTACCCGTAGCAACCAAGTACTGTGCATAGCAACTGGTAACCAATGCAACAAAGGTGGGTCCAACAATGTCGCGAAGAAGTAGTCTGGAAAAGTCTGGGTGACTAATTTCAACAAATTTTGTATTCAATGAGTTGCATTTCAACTGTACTTTGATCAAATTGATCATTTATCGGTTCCAATCAAGCAGAACCTGTGGGAGAAGTGAAATTGACTGCTTGATCACATGGCGTAGGGAAATGACCCCCCCCCCAACCCCAATGGAGTATTTTAGTTTCCCCTCAGCTTCACCATGGTAAGGGTCGGACGTTTGCACCTTTAAACAAAAGTTCTAAATCCGTTGACGGATTTTCTCGAACGTTTAAACAGAACCGCCCCAGAGATTTGACGTTTCAATTGCCGAAATCTGGCATTCAGTTTTAGTGTAAACGGTGCCTGTAAAAAGTACTTTGATTTTCAGAATACTTTACTGCTCGGACATTTCAAAGGAATGCCGTGAATTCATCACCGGAAGTTTGTGTCAACTATTTATATTGCAAACAATCTGTAGTGTTTATAGTTTACAATGACACCGTGGTGAGGGTGGGACGTTTATATGTTTAAAAATTTAAAAGGTTTGGGAAAGTTTTTTAAAAAATAACCGGAAATTTACATCCTTAGTCCATGGTCAATGAGGGAGGCTTGTTTTCCCATGGTCTCTGAGGGAGGCTTGTTTTCCCATGGTCACTGAGGGAGGCTTGTTTTCCCATGGTCACTGAGGGAGGCTTGTTTTCCCATGGTCACTGAGGGAGGCTTGTTTTCCCATGGTCACTGAGGGAGGCTTGTTTTCCCATGGTCACTGAGGGAGGCTTGTTTTTATTACATAACTCCATGCAGTCAATATCCTGTAGACTCAATGCCCAGAAATAACTGCACTGAAAAGACAGCATTCTGCTTATAGAGGATTTTCCGTCGAATGATATCATGATGGTCATCAGCGTTCAATTGACACAGATGAGCGCGGAAACGCGCCTGCCTTCGGAGTCTCTCACTTTTCTGGTGTACATGAAATTGCCAACAGAAATACACAGATTCGAAAATGTGTGTGCCTCCGCCGACATGGTATGCTTCCTGAAATGTCTTTGCCCATCATGTTACATCATTTGAAAAACCTCTATAACAAGGAAACATTTAAGTTTCAATCCTTTGCTCTACTTTGTTTTCATTCCTGACAATACAAGGTTCCAATTATTAATGAGGTTCCACTGAGTAATTAGTTCTCTGGGTTTCATTTACAAAGGAGGTGTCCTATAGGGGCCTCCAGAGTTACAGTTACGTCCATCATCGGCGCAAGCCTTCAAATCACAGGTAACAAGAAGTCAGACCTACATGTTTACAGGCTACAAAATGCAGCGTAAGGAAACTGAACAGTTAAAGAAATGATTTCAGATTGCGGCAGAGGATATTTAAAACAAAACAAACTCTTCATTCCAACACTGGCAATGATTCTGTCACATTGAAACAACAAGAAAGACCCAAGGACAAGAGATCTGACCCACTGACGGGGCGTAAATTACCCGCACACCTGTCATTCCACCTTCAACGGGGGCTTGCCGATTCGGGCCTCGACTTTCCTGGCTGCGACCAGCAGCAGGAGGCTGGTCAGTGACATGGCCTCCAGACACATTAGCACCACGGACCAGTCGAACCGCTCGGCTATGTAGGTGAGCGGGTAGCCGGCCATCAGGACACCGACTGGAGAAGAGAGAACATTTTAAAAGAAGATTTAAGTCCAATTTTTTTATTTACTGGATTACAAACGTAGCCTGAAATTTTCCCTTGGGTAAGAGCGAAGGTGTCATCACTTTTGAAAAGTGACACAGATTTGAGGTTTCCATGTAAGCGTGAAACAAATACCAAATCTCTCAACAAAATGTCCCGACCGTTCCGACAGGACCCCAATTTCTACATTTTGACTGACTTGTTCACTAGTGTTAAAACATCTATCTTTTTTTTATCTCTCCAAATCACCAGAGGGCAGGCCATGTTGATTGCAATGTATTTCAAAACATTTCAAGATGTTGAGTTTTACAATTAGTTCCTTGATGTAAGTGCTAACCTCGCACATCCTTTGTGCTGCTGATGTACACTGACGGACATGCAACCTGGAAACTCTGACAAAGTGGGAAAATTCTGAACGGCACGAGACTTTGTAAAGTGTGTTTGGATTTTTGTGATGGCTTTCCTGAAAAGGGAGACAGACGGTGCTGAAAAAAGTTCGGAGAAGCTCGTCTATTTCCAAATGCAGTCCATTCACACTAGTGCGCCTCCAAGAGTTTGCAACGCGTTGACCAATCGCAGTGCGCGAAATCTGTTGACCCAATATGCATTTGTAAAGGGTCAGCAGATTTTGCACACCGTGATTGGTCAACGCGTTGCAAACTCTTGGAGGCGCACTTCTGTGAAATCGACCGTATTGAGTTCATGGCTGCAAGTGTGGGCAAAACATCAGAAGAGGTAATGAACCACCAATGTTGAACATTTCAAGGGCCAAGGGTCGGAACAATATTTGTGACCTTACCATTGCAGGCCATGGCTGCGAAGGCGTGGGACGTCCCCGACAAGTGGACCGGTGCGTTTTCGATGGCCACCACGCCGTAGACAGAAAAGGCTCCATACTGGGCCAAGCCGAACAGGAACCCAATAGCAAGGATGAACACCTGCAAGCAATAGAGCAGATGATGAAAGTGGGGGGAGGGGATTTTATTGCTCCGCCCACCCTACACAATGTAAGCGAAGAATCTCTAGATGCCCCAGAGATGAATATGATAGCCCCCAACTTCAGACTTTAACCCAAAATGGCAGTTCGTTACGTGTGCAGCACAATGTGCAGCTACTGTGAGCTAATTATCCATACGCACTGACGCATAATCCGCCATTTTGGTTCCAACAAGTGAGACACTCATGTCACAACTCCCGCTATGAACAGCTCTGATTTGCCCAAAACTGAAAGTGCCCCCAACACCTGAGATGAGGTAGACTGGTGGGAATCGTTTCATCTGGGCACCTGCCACACAAGCAGAGGCCAGAAATTGGTCGGCAACTGGTGGATTAGCATGTTCAGATGTCAGCCGGGGATGAGTCGAGGTGAAATTGGCATTTTAATTAACCACCAGGTGTGCCAGTGTGTGCAGAGATAGTCCGATTGTGTCTGACACATCACATGGCGAAAGTGATTAATAGTTGTCATGGATACAGCAGAGGCCCAAGCTGCATCCGAAAATTCACGACTGCATGTGAAAGTAACTGAGTTGAAACGTGTTCCACTTTTGCAAATTTTCAGCATGAATAATTGATCTTACATCACCCAGTTACATCTGTGTTCACTTTTGCTCTGAGGGCAACCAGCCTTTATTCCAAGTAATTAANGGCTCTTGCCCTCTCCCGGAGCGAAGGGGTTAACCAGTGGATTCAGATGCAACTTCCGAGCCGAAGGTTTCTTGTCTCACCTCGTTTGTGTCGATGGTGACCAGACTTCGGAAGATGTGGATGGACATGAGGTTGATCCCCTCCATGAACATGAACCAGGGAAAGCGGGGGCAGGTTTTACAGTTCTTGCTGGCCTAGAAGAAAAGGAAAGAAAAAAAAATAGCGCAAGGGAAGCAAAGAGGAGAGCAGGTTGCTTCGCACCCAGGACGGTGGATGAAGTGGGGCCAGCTGCCGAGCTTGCGGACAAGTTCTGAAAAGCACGAGCACGTTATTACAAGCCTACTATAATAAGCCTTTTGTGAGTTTAATTTGAATAAAATCTGGTACGCTGAGTTATCTGATTGCACATAAACATAACGATTTGAATTCCCCAGACTACAGACGCTGTTGCTATACCTCGTGATTCGGGGCCAGCTTTTTCATAGCAATCAACATCTTGGGAATGGACTGGTTCCTTTGTGCCCTTCTTATCCATTGAAAAGAGTGTATTGCTGCAAGGCGTCTCTTATGTAACTAAGCAAAAGCTTGCCCCGAATCATGAGGTATAGCAACAGTGGCTTTAGTGTGGAGAATTCATATTATGTTTGGGTGAACTGAAAGAACTCAGAATACAAGATTTTATTCACAACTCGCAAAAGGCTTTCGAGCCGTAGCTAAACGTGTAGATTACCTATGTCCTTGCGACCAATTTCAGCAAGTTTTGCTCAGCGCTCAACTGACACTTTTATATGTCCTGTCCTTTTTTCCAATTTCTATCAAATTTTCCACCACTCTTTAACAACTGCAATAAAGCCAGGGAGTACGAGACAGCAAAAGTAACTTAACCTGATCTCACTCAAAAAAGTGGTATCGATCATTGCGCATTTAGTAGCGTGGGTTAGAAGTGTGTACCAAATTTGGTTACCCTGGCAACTAATCTGTCCGTCACAAACCCGGCTAGGACACTGCCAACAATGGCCCCGATGGAGTAAGAACTGGTGAAGGCACTTCCTGCAAGAGAAAGCAAACAACGGAAAAAAAAGGCTTCTTTAGGATTATCGGGCTAAAAGAGACCTGCACGCCTGCCTTGCATGACAAGAGAAAGTGTGGTGCATCTCTTGAATGGTCTTGGATCTGGTCATGTGACAGTCTCGACTTCTGCACTGTGACAGACTGTATTTACTGACAATAACACGAAGCCGTGCTACGTGCACAATACTTCCGAACGAGCCCAAGCTGGATTATACCGGATCAGACCGGTCTGGTCCGGAAGCACGCCCGCACTCACCCACGGCGTTCTCAAAGCCGACCTCCTGGATGAGATACAGCTGACCCCAGTCCATGACCCCGTAGGCAATGAGCGCGGTCAAGAAAAATAAGACCGAGACAACCCAGAGGAACGGGGAGCCGATCACGTCACGAGTCGTGGCGGAACTCTGCGACGGACTGGCATCCGATGAAGCTGCAGAGACAAAACACAAAGACATAACATCAAGACAAGTCCACAGAAGATCCCCATTCTGTGCCTCTCAAAGACTAGCACTACTGTAAAAAGATGCCCAACAGCTGACTACAAAAGCGCCGAAAATCCACGAGTGTCTTTGACGGTAAAACGTCCGTGGTTATAGGTACGAGACATAAATTGTGGACTTGCTCACCGGTATTGCCTTTGTTAAGCCCTTTCCACCCATTGCGGAACCAAGCTGAATATTTTCCCCGCGGGGAGTTGGAACGGTTGATGGGGATGATGTTTTGATGGCCCAGTGAGCAGGGGTAATAATTAATTTTGTCCAAATTAAAAATAATAAAAAAAAACTGGCCGATGCACAAAATATTGACATTCTGTGGGCTACAGCAAGCCTGTTTTAATCTGCACGGTTCTTCGACTTACAAGTCAGTTACATGTGGCAGGAAAAAATGTAACGATGAACACGCACGCCTGTGGAAAGTTCGGCACTGGCTGGGAAAAAAGGGTACAGACCATTTTTACTGCTTGCGGGTGCATTAGTGGCCTCTGCGGCGGTACGTGGTTCCAGACCGGCCTCCGACGGCGAATTCTTGATGAGTAGGAGCGACGCGCCAGCCATGGCAATACCCAACACACCTGTCCACAAACAAAGGAACAAATCTTTTTGTAATTGAACCATTAGGCCTGCGCAGAGTACACAAATATTTGAACTTTCAATCAGTTATCAAATATTTGAGTATCTATTTTTCCAATTTGAATATCCGTAAGTGCAATACAATGACAAAGCAAGAAAAACACTCAGTTTGTTTGCAACTTCACGTAACTTGCCTTCTTGAAGTTTAAATCCAAAACAGAATAAAAAACTTGACCTACAAAGTGCCTTTAATCCTCAGTTATTGCTCAATGTGGTGTTTCATAAATACTAGAGCGGTATTCACAGAAATTGCATTTTTCTAACCTTTCACGGTTCATTTTTCACCTTTCACGGTGCAATCAAGCAATAACCCTGTGATAGCTCTTATTTATTTATTTTAATTTATTCATGCTGACCTTTTTTTTCATTGACTCAACGTTTATTTTCGTTTTGCAATGTACATATCAAGTTACACACAAGGTCAATAAATGAAAGATTCATGACTACAAGAGTGCAAGTTAAATAAGACCAGGAGACATTGAAATAAAAGGGGGCAGATACAGAGGCATATTCAGAAGACAAAGTCTTATACAGAAATGTCTTATTAAGACGAGAAAAAAGAACCAGACAAGACTGACAACGGATTATATATGAAAGAAAGACAATGGCAGTACAATACAGTCCAAACAAAACAAGGACGAAACAGAACAATAAGGGACACATTATGGACATATGAATATGTAAATGTACATTGACACATATTGTGAATAGAAAATTAATGAGCGACTTTTAACCCCTTCACGCCGGGATTCTTTTGACCGCGACTGCTGGGCTGTGGTATGCCCTGAATGGAGGGCTTTTGTTCTGAGGGCAACCAGCCTTTATTCCAAGTAATTAACCCCTTCACGCCGGAATTCTTTTGACCGCGACTACTGGGCTGTGGCATGCCCTGAATGGAGGGCTTTGTCCAGTAGCAGGCCCCATTGAACCAGCAGCTGCATGGTGAATAGACTGTATGTGTGGTATGCACTAATTCTCACACAAAGCCGCGGCTGTGGACGGCTCCCGGTATGCAGGGGTTAATAAGAAACATAAGTGTTACATTACAGTCAGTTTAATAAGTTTGCAAATTTAATATCATAAATGCCTGCATAAGGGTCTGGTGAAGCCGTAGGATTTCTTTACCTCCTATGTACATGGCCGTCCTCCACCCATAATCCTTTGCCACGACAGACAGACAGACGGGGCCGACGACCCCGGCCAGGTTGGCGCTGGTGGATAGGACACTCCACCACAGGCCAAGTTCGGATGGAAGGAACCACTGCAAAAGCACGGAATGACGCCGATAAAACAATTACAGTTGAGCCTTTAAAATGCCGATTGTGGATTTCTGCCTGTGTTTTCTGCAGTTGGGGGCTGGGGGAGAAGCCTGCTACACAAATTTCAAGTGTCACAGAGTGCTTGATGCAACAGTTCGCACGGCACTGAAACACGTCAGAGCTGAGACTCAGACTCGTGAGAGAACAAAGGACTCCGATTCATATTTGGGAGTCGGCTCTACCTGTTTCAAGATCTTGGAGCAGGCGGGCCAGCCACCGCCCTGGGCGATGCCATTCAGAAACCACAGCACCATGAGCATCTGCAGCGATTGGAAACCGGTGAACTGCAGCACCAGCAGGCTGGCCAGGAACAGGCCGCTACTGAAGAGGACCCGGGCGCTGACTTTGTCCGACAGGACCCCGCTGACAAACTTGCTAATGGTGTAGGCCAGCGATATACTGCTGGTGATCGCACCTGTGAAATTTTAACGACGATTCTTAAAATGTAAAGAAGATTTCAGTTCTGGCCAAACAGAAAAGACTTGTGCCTCCTAGTACACACATCTTTCACACTGGGAACCTTTTGCCATTAACTTTGACCCAAATCTGGTACACTTTAAATTCACGTAAACATAACAACTTGAATTATCCATTACTAAGAGCACTGTGGCTATACCTCGTGATTCGGGGCAAGCTTTTGCTTAGTTACATAAGAGACGCCTTGCAACAATACACTGTTCTCAATGGGTAAGAAGGGCACAAAGGAACCAGTCCATTCCAGAGATGGCGGTCGCTAAGCAAAAGCTTGCCCTGAATCACAAGGTATAACAACGGTGTCCTTAGTCTGGGGAATTCAAATCATTATGTTTATATGTAATCAGATAACTCAGTGTACCAGATTTTATTCCAATTTAACTCGCAAATGGCTTATTGCTTCCAAGCACCACGGGAATAAGGCAGTATTGATTTTTGATCCTTTTCCATGGTAAGGAATTCTTGTTTTCCCATTATGCAACCCAACCGACCTGTCTTTGAAAAAAAAGACACCTTGTGTATCGTAATTTCAAAAATGAACGTAGAAACAGGCAAAAGTGTTTCAAGTTAAACGTCATAGTGAAATCAAATCTAGATCTGGATTCCAAAGATTTGAACAGAGCCCTAATTTAATAAACTCTCATACACAGTACCGAGAGTTCCCAAATGGTGGATAAGGTAGCCTTTAAGACACTTGAAAATTGTGACCCTCTGCTACAAAATTCTTTCTCTCACTGTCTCTCCCCTGTGCTGCTAAGGGGGGCATGCTGCCAAGAGGAGCCCAGTGATGCCGTTACCATGGTAACCGGAGCTCACCCAGATCGCTCCTGTGCATCCTGTCCTCCTCGATGACGTAGGGCATCAGGAAGGAGAAGGACTTGCGATTGAGGTAGTAGAGGAAGTAGCCGACAAAGAGCGTCGCGTAGATGAAGGCACGCCTGAGCGTGTATGACTCCATGGTCGTCCGTCAGCGTTGGATCTGATGCTCGTGCCCAACAGGATGAGTTTCAACAAAATCTTTCTTTCCAAAAATTGTTCACCAAAAAAAAAGTTAGACGGAATAATCAATGTATATGATACATAAACATATGTCGGTGTCAGTCTGACTAAATATTAACAATTACAAAAATATATACCCTACGCACAGGGTGTGAGGATATGGCCATTAACACCCCCTCAGCCACATTCCCCCCGCCCCTTTCCTCATGTTGGGTTGAGCCTAAAAGTACAATGTACATTGCAGTGCAGGTGTATACAGACCTTGTGCATACATGACATCAAGTTCGAGGGTGTTTCTTTCTTCCTACGGGATAGGCTCGAGTAAACCTTTGGTACATTCATTGTAATTAAAACAAGAAAGAAAAGCATCAAGCTCCGTCTTAATGCTTTTATGGTCTACTCCATCTGAACTTCCAAGGCCTGTGCTATAGCCTAGGTGTTCACTAGGCCTGTATTATGAGGGTGATGTGGGGCCTACCACGGCCGCGTGAGCCTGATAAAACACAATCTAGCATTAGAGTAAACCAATTTGGCAAGAAATTATGTTATTGTTTTATTTAATAACAATGTTTTGGAAACGTTGCTGCCTCCTCTGATAGGCCCTGCCTCCAATTTTTTTCATCAAAGTATTTTCTCCAAATTTCCAATTTTATGGAAAATTTTCTAATCTTTGTTAGAATTCCAACTAGGGGCCTAATTCTGAAATGGAGTCAGGATGCAACATTCAGTTTTCCATGTACAGACAACACTAATTTTCCCTTAAACTGTTATAACAGCCCTTACAAAGTGATAAAATGTCCTAAAAAGTGAGATTTAGCTGGGAAAATAAATTCCCAAACATTTAAGGACCTAGACAGGCCGCGCGCACTTTAGGAAAACACAAGTTAGGCAATGTTACTGCACTGTTACTAAGTGTTAGGCTACGGAGGTTTTTGGGGCAAGCCTGACACAGTATAGCTTGTTCACCGAAGCATTGAGTGTTGTCCGTATATGGAACTCTTTCCAAACATTCTTTCCCAAACTATATGAAATTCTGAATCCAGTAAACAAGAAAACGGGAACATTTTTGTGAGATGGAAAACTCACACCGAGTCACACTAGATCACTGTCCCAGTCATAGTCAAGTCCAAAGATTGTATAGCGTTGCGCAGCGCCCTCCAGAGGCGAAATAAAAGGTTTTGTTGTCCAGCGAGAATTAACGCCACAAATTACATGAAGCGGTGCCGTTCAGCCTTCTGCTTTGTCGGTTAATTCAAGAGTTCTTGGAGCCTTATCATCGCATGTGAGTGTCAGGAATGGGGTGTTTATTTTCGAAACGGGAAGCCAAGCAGGAGGAGGAGACACCACCCGTGTACAGCTGGTGAGTTAACCGTGGGTGTTCGTTAACGTTCCTCCAGTATCAGGGTTCATGATCTAGCCTATTCAATCAGTCACAGCAACCGTGACGCGCCCCTTGACTGTCAAGGTGGTCAACCATGACGGTCACCGGCATGACTAGCTAGCCCCTTACAAACTTGTCCCCTTGGGCCTAGCCGACTCCCCCCCCCCGTGCAGACTTGCCCCTGACCCACACGCCCCTGGATAAAATAGTAATTCTTTAATTCAAGCCTGTAAAAATTTGTTTGTGCTTATCACCAGATCACGGACATGATGGAAAGAATTCCGTATCGATGCCAGATTACATGTACATGTATTCTCTGCAGTGACTTGATAAGGTAATCGGTCACTTCGGCACCTTGCCAAGTCGGCACCTGCCAACTCAGCACCTTGCCAAGTCGGCACCTGCCAACTCAGCACCTTGCCAACTCGGCACCTTACCACTTGGCACCTGCGCATAAGCCAATTCAGCACCTTGCCAACTGGTGCGTACATACAATGAATGCACTCCATAGATAGATCGGGCATGAGCTACATGTACATCGCACCAACCAATCAGTTGTTTGTAGGCTAGATCTTTTAATAGATAAAAAAATGGAACTGTGACAGAAAAAATGTAAGATATTTTGGCAAGGTTTCTGGCTGAGTAACTCGCACTGTGTCTTTTCCGGATAGCTTGCACAAAATCACAGAAGTCAGGTGCCAATTTGGAAAACGCAGACCTAAGACAAAATTTAGGTGCCGAGTTGGTGCTATGCCATGTACACTGTATGCTGACTACACTCGGGTGCCAAGTTTGAAAGTTGACAAGTTGGCAGGTGCCGAGGTGACCGACATTCACACCTTCCTTGATAATAGCCATCAGAAAGCAAAAATATGTCCAGAAAAGTTCAATTTAGGAGGGAAAATACCAAGTCATTTACATGTACTTAGAAAACTTCCACAAAACTTTTCAGACCAGTCTTGAAGGGTTTATGCACCGGTTGTCAAGTGGCATCCACATATGGAACTCTTTCATGTCTTTCCGTTATGAAGTTTGTGTTTAGTCAGTTAGTAGGAGTTAAAAGCATGTTTTTTAACTAGACCTACATGTACAATTTTAATTCCCTTAAAAGTGGTAAGAGGTCTCAGACGAGAGGAAGTACATGTACATTATGTAACTTGCCACCTCCCCCTTCCCACGATGCACCGCAGGGGATGATTCAGTTATAAATGCACTGTGAAACATGTACTCCGTACTTTGTACATGTATACATTACTATCAATCATGTACCTGTATCCACACATTGTAACACAGGCACACGTTGTACAATCATGTGCAGTGTAAGTCTAAAAGTCTAAAACTGGAACTGCTTCTTGCTGTCTCCCCTTTACTGATGTTGGTGAATGTGGGTCGATTGGCGGCTGCCCGAGGCGCCCATGTGAGCCATCGGCTCAACCATGTTTAAATGTAATCATTGTTCCATGCTTAATGTCCTCATTGTACAGCCCATTTGAACATATCTATATGACATTTGCACTTTATAAATGAATAAATTATTATTTTTATTAAGTGTGTGCATCATGTTTTTTATTCTAGTACATGTATGGGTATAATTCCAGAAATTAGGAATCCATTTTTTTTCCGTGTCCCTGTCACATCTGACATATGAGTCTGTAAGTTCAGGACACATTTTTTAATTTCCAAGAGTGATGAATTAATGCAAATTACCTGCTAAGAAATAGCAATATTTAGTTTGAAATCAATTCTGGTGATATTTCCGTGGCAAACAACAAAGGTCAGATATAACAGGGACACAAAAATGTCACACTTTTGGACCCCTAATTTCTGGAATTACCCACATGTACATGTATGTACATTCTACATCAAATACTGTGTACATTTACGTGACGTTAATTGTGTAGATCAAAGTGGCTTCCATAGAATGATTCTTAAGGACTTCTCGTTCCCCCGTTTCTATTATTTGCACAAGAGAGGTCATTTGCACCTGAATAAGGGGCAAAAATATTGATGACTGCCTTCCCTTGCTGCCTAATTTTTGGATGCGCGATGCTTGTTACAAATACCTCCGCGTCTACGTGTGCAATGTGCTGTGGCTTGTGGTTTATGAGAAGCACTGGCCAGTCATGAATACTCTGGGGTCCCTCAGCAGCGCCATCCTTGAATGGATGCCATTGGAGCCATTCAGCCACTGATGGCCACTTGGTATTGGTTGGTTGGTTTCCACGGAGACGGGGCTGGATCGTTGCCGGGGTGATGCCTGCAGCTACATGTACGTAGACAGGGGGGCAGTCGGCAGTTGAGGAACGAGTCAGGGAATGTTTCATCTAACCTGGATGCTCGAGGGTGAATTCCTGTTGCGGGATACTGTGGCTGCAATTCTGTCAGTTATACCATAGCTCTGTGGTTATTATACATGTCCCATAGTGTCAGCTTTTGTGTTTGTGTCATTAGGACGGCCTTGTGGAATAAAAGATATGTTACTCGTGCCCAAATGCATCAGTTTCAATCAATGTGTCTCCTGCCTATTGATGGTACATGTACATGAATGTGTATGAGTGCAGGTGACCTTACTCATTTTTATAGCCACCTTGACCTTTGATTGGCTAATAGGCCTGTTGCCGGGTCACACGGAAAACAGAACAAAAAAACGTGAATTTACCGTAATTATATTCTGAACAATTTGAAGAGTACATGTACAGTGTATTTCCCCTCTGGGTTGTTCTGGCAGAGGCCCCACAATGCAAGATTGGGTTATCTAAAGGACTTCGGATTATGCTGAGGACATGGAGTTAGCAATGCTCCATTCGCTGCCTACATTTTGATTATTTTAGGGGAAAATCCTGCGAACACTGGACAGTCCAATGAAAATTTCATTTTTCAATTAAAGTTTAACCTTGAATATCAGCTCATGCCTCATGTCACCTGTCCATGCACTAATTATTACTTCTTTCAAATTGTAGAAGCCCTAATTTTGTTTTACAAAAGTCTTTGACGCTGGTCAACAAGCTTTTCAATTTCCTTCCCCATCCCTGAGTGCTGTGGAAATTATACTCTGCGGCCTTAGGCGGCACTAAGGGTGTCATGCAGCACTTATCCAAGTGTTCCCAGGCTGGGAAGGGACGGGCAGATCTACAGTAATTCAATCCTTGTAGGGCGGTGCCGAATATTCGATCGAGTATCGAATATTCAAATATTATTTTTCGGATTTGAATATTCAAATGCAAAATTTATGAGAAGGAGGGGAAAATTTTCTTTTCTTTTCAAATGAGAAAACTTGCATACTGAGGTTTGTTTCAAGGAGATTCAAAGGAAAAGCGACAGAAATCTTACAATGATTTAAAAAGTAAATTATTCATTAAACAATTGAAAACAAATAGAAATCTACAACAGGGCAAGAAGTCTCGTTCATCTCTTTAATCTTGCTAAATCGTGGCTGGAGATACTCCTAGATGTGAGAAGCTATAATATTGATCATAATGTACAATTGTGTGCGTTATTGCAAATGGTTTTGTCTACGGTTTGTTCGTCAACAATCTGCCGATCGGTACAACCGAATATTCAGATAATCAATTTTGTTATCAGCAAAGACACGTTCTTTGATCAATATTCCAGCAGAGAGAAATACATACATGTACATGTCAACAGTGCCTGGTCATGTTTAGTAATCATCCAGCATTGTGATGTAGAAAAATTCCATCTCACCTGGCACGTGGCTAAAGACAAAACCCTTGAAAAAAAAGCCATGCATTCACGGCCTCTCTCCTCTGCAAGGCACTCTTGCGGCGGTCATGAGAAGGTTTACGAACTCTGCTTGCCGTCAATGTCGAAGCCCTTTGTACAGTGTACTTTACATGTAAATGCAATGCAAATTTCATTACTTCCGTACTTTTGTTCCTCAGCATGCAATTTAGACAGACATCTGGCTGGTCGTAATTCCAATTAGACACTGGACATACATGTATTCAATATTAGACCCTGTCTTGGATTGTGTAAAATACGCATTGTGTACAAGGACACTGTACATGCACATGTACTGTATACATGAATTCATAATACTTTTTAACTCTCACAGACGTGTGGGCATTCCTTTTTTGCCTGTGGTTGAAAGAAAGTCAGAGAAAATGCTCCCTTTTTCCCTTGTACATGTATGAATATTCCTTCAAGCTGGATGTCCTTAACTACGATTTCCTTGACTATTCCTCTTCAGTTTTCGGCGATAACACTGTCCCCCCAAATGACTCTAAAACAGGTTTTCAGAGAGGACGGAACACTTGTGTGGACCGTGTACTTGGACATGTACACGTACTGGTACTTGTACATGTACATGCATGAAAAAGAAAAACATTCCTGTCTAGGGGCTCTCCAACTTTAGCTTAAAAACTGTCGAAAGTGTGGTACATGTACAAATGTTCCGGTATATTGTATGTCAATATAATGTGCACTGTACCTGGTACATGTTCATGTATACATGATCACAGAAGCCTCTGTCAAAAGTGTGGTACATATATTCTGGTATTGTGTGTCAATATAATACAATGTGCACTGTACAATGTACTTGCATGTACATGTACATGTACCTACATGTACATGTACATGTAGGGTAATTGATTGCCTTTACCCCAGTGTGACACTGATCTGCTGGGTTAACACTGTAGGCCATCCATGACTGAAGATTCTTTGATTTGAGCAACCTCTACAATGGCAGATTACACACTGTACAGCAGTGGGTGATTTAAATAACAAACAGAGCTTGGCGGCCTTGGATACCATACAGGCAGAAATCTCTGCCTCTTTCACAGTGTCGGCTTGGCTTTCATGTCAGGACTGAGTGGCATACAGTGATGAGCCACCGCCAGCAGGTGCTTTCATCAACCTCCAGCGAGTTTACCCCGTGGCCAAGGAGTCAAACTTTAGATTTGACCTTTTCGCGATAGAGACTAGTCGCAAGTAAATTAGATAGGTTTGCTGTAGCACCATGGATGTATCTCTTTTTGAGCATGTGGGGTTCTGAAAAGAACCAGTTAAATACCCAAGACTACATGTACGTCCTTGTCAGTTTCGGCAACTGCGCTTGAAACCTTCTGATGCTGGATCGAGCCATGAACTCTAGTGGCGGCTGATCTCTTCCCATCCAGTCGACAGCGCCGGGGAGGTGATACGAGCCGATGACCGGGGCATGGCTCTGTGCAGCACCTGCCACATCCTCAGCCAAGCGCCGTAAGGAACACACCTCTCTGAGGAAGCTACAGATCTCTTGTGCTAGAATTCTGGCAGAAAACTATCGCTGTACCGGTCTAAAGAGAGTGTTCACAGCAGTGTTTTTCTCTCAGGGAATAAGTACCATAGGTGTACATGTACAATGTATACTTCCCAAGAGGATTTATTCCCATTCGTAACTTCACACCTTTTGAGTCAGAAAGTCAGAATAAGGGGAAAATCAATTTTAATGACTTTTTAGCGACAGTACGTTATTTTTCATACATGTACACGTAGCCGGTACATGTATGCATCTCCCTTTCAGTTAGCCGTACACAATCTCTTTAGTGAATGGCGCACCCCTAGCATGTACTGTTCGAGGTGATGCAGAAAATGCTGAGCTTGGGTAATGTGCATTTGGGGAAATGCAGACTCATTGTGTAAGCTACATGTATGTGAAGATTACGGACATTTAGCGCAATCAAGGGAAAAGGGACAGGAGGTCATACCTGTACATGTCATAGGAGTCAAACATCCAGGTGACACCTGACAAGTGTTTAATACCAGCTATTTACAT